TTCGCAGGAAATCACGGAAAAAGAAAAAAATATAATTTAATTTATTATTTTAATTATTTTATTTACAAACTTTTTAATGAAGATTTTGTTCGAAATGTGCACCTCTTGCAGCAATACAAGCATTGCATCTGTCAAACACGGCTCTTGTAGCAGCCAGGCGCTGTTCTTGCGATATTCTGTTCGCTGCAGCTACGATACGATTTCTCAAATGTTGCTCTGATTGAATAGGCGAAGAGTTCTTCTTCATTCTCCTGCAATGCAGATTCAGTGTCGGTATTGACCCTTTTTTTAATCTTTTCATTTTCTTTCTCGTCTTTACTCCTTTTCTTCCTTCAGTTAAATGTATTTCGAATGAACATTCAGTAAAATGTTTTTCACATACTCTAGCTAAAATTCACAAAAATACTAATTCAATTGCAGATCCCAATTTTATAGATGTATGATATGTATAATAATTAGGTTACATTTTTTGAGGTTAGTTTTTGTATTGCCTGCGAAACGTATAGCAAGGCGCTTGCTTTGTTGTATTATTCATCGACTTACCATGATCTACATTGATTTTTTTTTCATTTTTCGCGCACACTTTAAGCCACATTTTTCGGAGGTCTCCTTCTTTCGGGAAGGTAAAATATTTCAACAGTTCTCCAGCTCGGTTAGAGCAGTTCGAGATACAACAATTTGACATTATTTATATATTTTTCAAATATTATACATTTTACGACCTTCCCTGCAAATACATGCAGTCACGTACAATACATATAAGCCGGTGGTACAATCGTACCTTCGTGTCTCCCGTTCGGCCGGCTTCGGCAGTTTTCGTACATTTTGGCAAAATTTACCGATTGGTTGAACGAAAATCCACTGCGCATCTCCCTTCGCGCTACACCTTGTTTCCTTACACCATGGGCTAATGTACGTCGGACCGACGCACAGTAGGGACAAATGAGTTTCCGATGACAAACTACCTTTCAGACTGCATTTCTGAACCAAATTTAATGAATTTTTTTTTTAAATGTGCGTAATAAAATTCTCTAAAACTTTGTCGA